AAGCTCTCGAAGCACTGTTGTTGTGCTAACCTGGAGGCCACACGAAATTTGGAGGTCTTTACCTATTGACTCTGCAGGCAGTTGGCGACTTCTGCGCACTGTACACTTCAGCATGCACTAACCCTGCTCTGTCATTTTACGTGGCCTACCACTTCGTGGCTGACATGCTGTTGTTCCCAGTTGCTTCCATTTTGTTACCATACCACTAACAGTTGACCGTTGTATATTTAGTAGCAAGGAAATTTCATGGATGGACTTATTGCACAGGTGGCAACCTATCATGGTACCACGCTTGAATTCACTGAGCTACTGGGAGCGACCCATTCTTTTGCAAATGTTTGTAGAAGCAGTCTGCATGCCTAGGTGCTTGATTTTATACACCTGTGGCCATGGAGGTGATTGGAACACCTGAATCCAATAATTTGTAGGGGTGTCCCAATACTTTTGGCAGTATAGTGAATATGTATGAGGCGATCAAATTTCAATAAAATAACGTACATATATTCATTGCGTGCAAAGCTGTGTTTATGTGAATATTTTTAGGGAGATGGTCCATAGGATTCTTAACCACATGCCGCCCAGCCACTGTAGAAATACAGTGACAGGTCGGCACAGCTGCGCAAAACCATGTTTTAAAACGTGCTTTTGCAAAATAGGCAGGGGGCGTGCGCGCGGCGCGCCAACGCCCTACCTGTCCCGTCAATCACAGCCACGGATGTCAGTCACCGGGTCATGGCCGGTCATTACCGGCTGTGTCCCGCCGATTAGCGGCAATCACTGACAGAGAGCACGGCTGCAGTAACTCTGCTTTCTGTCAGTTCCCTGTCAGCTCCTGACATGCTGAGCCAGAGAGAAGAGTTTATCTCTCCGGATCAGTGGTTTCCCGTGCAGTACACACCCCTGCCCCCTAGTAAAACACTCCCCTCACACAGTTAACCCTTTCAGTAAATAAAAAGGTTAACCCCTTCCTCCCCAGTGTCAGTGTTTTTTAAAAATCCCAGTATCTTTCCCGCCATTTGTAAACGCTATAACTTTCATGTAAACCAATTAATTTACACGAATTGGGTTTTTTTTTCGCAAAGACATGTCGCAGAATGCATTTTGGCTGAAATTTATGACGCAATTTGATTTTTAATTTTTTTTTACTGGACATGTTTTATAGCAAAAAGTCCAAAATACTGTTTTTTTTTCTCAAAATTGTCAGCCTTTTGTTTTTTCTATAGCGCAAAAAATAAAAAACGCACAGGCGATCAAATACCACCAAAAGAAAGCTCTATTTGTGTGAAAAAAAGAACATAAATTTCATTTATGTACTGTATTGCATGACCGCACAATTGTCCGTTAAACTAGCGCAGCACTGTATAGCAAAAAAATGTCATAAATTGCAGTATCTATACCATAGTTTGTAGACGCTATAACTTTCACACAAAGCAATCAATATACACTTATTGGGATTTTTTTTTACCAAATACATGTAGCAGAATACATTTTGGCCTAAATTTATAACTAACTTTGAGTTTACTATATATTTTTTATAGCTGAAAGTAAAAAATATAATTTTTTCTTCAAAATTTTTGGTCTTTTTTTGTTTATAGCGTGAAAAATAAAAAGCGCACAGGCGATCAAATACCACCGAAAGAAAGCTCTATTTGTGTGTGTGAAAAAAAGGATGTAAATTTTGTTTGGGTGCAGCATTGCATGACCGCGCAAAAAAAGGCCTGGTCATTAAGGTGGGGAAATCCTCAGGAGGGCAAGTGGTTAAAGATGTCTGTGACTCAAAAAGTTTAAGAACCACTAACTTAGTACATCAATAACAACAAATGAATGTACAGTACATGAAGCTACTGTATATAAAGTAGAGGATACCTTTGAATGGACCTTAAATGGCCATTTGCAGTAGTGATGTACTGATATCAGCTGCCGAAAATTATTGACCCTAAAATAGGGTTATCAGCATTTTGCCGATAGAAAAAAAAGTGCAGATAATGATAACTGACTTCAATGTAAAATATGTCCCATTGACTTGAATGCAAAATCATGTCCCGTTGACTTCAATGCAAAATTGCATCCCATTGACTTCAATGCAAACATGCCACCTATTGACTTCAATGCAAAAATGCCTACATTTAAGTTTTTCAATTTTTAATATATTTCATTTTATTTTATTTCCAATTTTTGTTTGTTACTTTCAATAAAAGTTATTTTACATTACTGGATTGTATTTTTTAAATTCATATTATTAAATTCATGTTATTAAAGCTCAGCTCCATCCAAAAGCGGAAGCTCCACTTGTTTGAATCAGCCCCTCCTCTGTCACATTTGGCACTTTTTTTGGGGGGAGGGGGGAGCAGGTACCTGGTTTTAACAGTTTGGCCCCCATCTTCCCCCCCTCAGTCTTCTGGGATACAGGTCCCAGAAGGTAGTAGGAAACCGGTTGTGAAGAACTAGGTGGATGGTGCTGGACCCTTGAACAGGTAAGTGTCCCTATATTAAAAGTTAGCAGCTACAGTATTTGTAGCTGATAACTTAATTTTTTTGGGGGGAGCCTGGAGCTCCTCTTTAATTAAGAAGTTGAATATAAAACAATTATATATATGAAATGTATATTTTTTTTAAAACTGTCCATTTCGGTTTTGGGTTTCGCCAGTGCATCCTGAATTTTTAGTTTTGGTTTTGGACCAGCATTTTCATTTCAGTGCACTACTAATTTGTAGTAATCTGAATATCCACTCTTGACTTGTTATAATACTTGTTATAATACTTTTTAATTAATTTTTTTTTATTATTCTCATACCTACCAGAGCAGAAGAATTACAGGGTTGTACAAAAAAATGTAAACACTACATGATTTGCAGGTGAGAAAGTGATGACATGTTTTGCGTTGAAAGCAGATGTTGTTATGTAACATTCTTTTGCTTCCGCTGTCTGATCAGACACCTAGCTAACAGGTGGGAAGCCTCACTTTCACTCATTGCATGTGCTGCTAGTAATACGGAGTCATGTCAGAGCTTACTGAGCTTCAAAGAGGGCAATTTATTGGTGCCCACTTAGCTGGTGCCTTTGTGACTGAAATTACTAATTTATTTGCATCAACATCTGTCACAGTGCACCAATGCACAAAAACATCTTTCACAGTATACCAGTGTCCCATCAACATCTGTCACAGTGTACCAGTGTACAAAACATCTGTCACAGTGTACCAGTGCACATCAACATCTGCAATAGTGTTCCATTGCAACATCAACATCTGTCAGTGTCCCATTGCAACATTAACATCTGTCGGTGTCCCTAGTGGACCACCACCATCTGGTGGTGTCCCTAGTGGACCGTCAACATCTGGCATTGCACCCAGTGGACCATCAACATCTGTCACATTGTACCTATGCACAAAACCATTTGTCAATGTACCAGTGTCCCATCAACATCTGTCACAGTGTAGCATTGCACAAAACATCTGTCAATGTGTACCAGTGTCCCATCAATATCCTTCACTGTGTACCAGTGTCGCATCAACATCTGCAATAGTGTATTTCAACATCTGTTGGAGTCCCTAGTGGACCTTCAACATCTGTTGGTGTCCCAGTGGACCATCAACATTTATTGTGTCCCTAGTGGGCCAAAAATGTGACAGTCAGGAAATTGGATGTGTAATTTATGTCCCTATAATGTCTGAAGGTGCTCCTTGGATTTTGGGCCTCTGTGTGGCTAGGCTGTGAAAAAGGAAGAATGTTACCAGCACACCGAGGATCACCAATATGGGTCCAAAAGTTTTAATGAACAATCACATAGTTACAGCAAGGCAACATTTTGGAGTCTTGCAGGACCCCTTCATCATGCCTAAAACTTTTGGACCATATTGGTGATCCTCGGTGTGCTGGTGACATTCTCCCTTGCTGATTGTATTCGATTCCAGCCGATGGTCACTGCAGCACCCACTTATACACACAACCATTTTTTAATTCAGGAACGTGTGCGTTTGGATTGTACACATGCATTGTAGGCTGTGAAAAAGACTCGCACATGTGTCGCCATACTCAGGAGGAGTAGGAGAATGGATTTTGGGGTGTATTTCTTAGTATGTCCACGCTGTGTGTTATAAACAGCTTTTAAATTGACAACTATGGGAAAAAAAACATGCTGTCACTTTTTGCCACAGGTTTTTGGAAAATATGGAAAGAAAATGCAATGTAAAAAGACTCATTGTACCTCATAGAAAATACATTGAGATTTTTGCTTTCCAAAATGTGGCCATTTTGGGGGTGTTTTCTTTGTCCTGGTGCTCCAGGGTCTTCAAAAGTGTGATAGATAGTCAGGAAATTAGATGCGTAATTTATGTTCCTTGAAAGCCCAAAGGTGCTCCTTGGATTTTGGACCCCTCTATGTGGCTAGGCTGTGAAAAAAATCTCACACATGTGGTATCCCTTTACTTGGGAGAAGCAGAATGTGTTTTGGGGAGTAATTGCAAGCATGCCTACGCTTCGTGTGAAAAATAAGTTGTTAAAATGACAATTTTGTGGGGAAAAAAAAACAAATTTTATGTAATTTTTTATTTTGCAATCCCTCGGGATGTCTATTTGCCAAAAAGGGGTCATTTGGGAGGTATCTGTACTGTCCTGGCATTTTAGGACCTAAGGAAATGAGATAGGCCATCAGTACATCAATTGTCAGATAGTATATATGTACCATTGCTTGTAGACTCTATACCTTTCCCACAGAAAAAGTAAAAAATCCAGTGGTGATTAACTACCACCAAAAGATAGCTATATTTGTCTCAAAAAATTATAAAAATTTAATTTGGGTACAGCACTGCATGACTGAGTAACTTTCAATCAATCAACGCGTGTGAGCACTGAAAGCTGAAAATTGGCCTGGGTAGGAAGGGGGTGAAAGTGTCCATTATTGAGGTGATTAAAATTGGTGCCTGGACATACATATGGATGGCTGTTCCTGTATATTTAAACAAACCATTGTCCTCTTTGAAATAAAGCTACAATACTCACTGATGGCAGCTGTGCCACTCCCATGCTTGGCGTGGTCGTGTAGGCAAAAAGTCAGCCGTTCCTTGATTCTTCACTCTCTGAGGGAATCGAAGCAGAACTCTCACATCATAATCTGAAGTGTCCGTGGCATATGCAGAGCTGTGGAGACAGAATACAGCTTAAAACAAATATGGAATTCATGGCATAAACTAAGTCATTTTTAGTTTTTTTTCTCTCTTCATTCCATCTCATCATGTATTTCCAGATGATCTTCAGACAAATAGCTAGATACACAGAAGACAGACAAATATGGGTACAGATTTACCTACCATGGGATATATAATACAGTGTAGCCAGCTTTGTGGTTTGGACAACGCTGGCTCCCTCTCCAAATCCTGCTGTACAGATTATAAAATACCAACATCAAAATTAATCTAGGTGCCTACATTAGTTGTACCTTTCATGCATTTCGAAATACATCTGCAGCACCCTCCTAGTTTAGCCAGGGGGAGCTAGATCCCAATGGTTAGACAGGAGCTGTTAGCAGTTCATGTGGGATAGCCAGTGGGGTCAAATTGTGGTCAGGGCTGAAAGACTCAGCAAGTCAGCCCCTCTGGAATTTCCCTCTGCTCTGAGGCTTTTGGAGGAGGGCCTTGGAGGCAGTGAGTGGATCTGAGGAGTGTCTGGCTGCACACTTGAGGGACCTCAGCCAATTGCCAACAGAAGGCTTGGCAAGGAGCTGGAACTTCCTTAAAAGTGTAGGAGACTGCTCAGTAGGAAGTGGTATGGAATGTCAGGAGGTGGGAGAGGAGTGTGGAGCAGAAAGATGTGAGGCTGGAGGAAGGAGGCTGCCAGGAGGCCTAGTGGGATGGGGTCTGCTTGTGAGCCTGGAGCTGGAAAGGTGTAAACCTCAGGACTCACTGGCCCCCTGAGTGAGGACCACCTGTATGGCAGGGATGGAGCAGCCCAGCCTGGTAGCAGCAGCCAACCCGCGAGTGGTACAGGAGAGGATCGGGGAAGGAGCACTCTGGTGGGAAACCAGATTAGCCCCCTACTAGTGACTGTTCACCTCATTTAAAGGGACAGGCACCAGATACCCTTCTCAGGAAAGTCTCTAGATTACTGGGTGAAGAGGAGTTTATCTATGGTCTGAGTTGGTAAAACAAGGAGATGCTGGCTAACTCTCCAACAGAGACTGTGTTGCAGAAGAAAAGAAGCTTGTGAATAGTTTCAGGAAGTTTGTCCTCAGTTATCAGTTCCCTTGGGCATTCTATACCCCCCTTACCATATCCAAGTTCTAATCCCCTCAATAAAATACAAAACAAAAGCTCAAGGACTGGTTTCTGACTTTAAAGCAAGCAAGCTTGTATAAAAAATGCTGAATGCCTGGCTGTGCAGAACTATAGGGGGACCCAATTCATCAGCAACCCCTAAGGGGGTAGTGCTGCACATCTATGGCTAAAACTAGGGATGCACCTATATATCGACGGCTGAAACATATCGGCCGAAAATAGTGCTATCAGCATTTTGTCGATAAACAAAAGTCACGCCTCATAGACTTTCATGCAAAAACGCCCCCTAGTGACTTCAATGTAAAATCGTGTCTCAAAGACTTTCATGCAAAGTTGCGTCCCCAATTACTTCAATGCAAAATCGCCCCCTAGTGACTTCAACGCAAAATTGAGTCCCTTAGACTTTCATGCAAAATACGTTCCCATAGACTTCAATGCAAAAACACCCCCTAGTGCAGTGGTCGGCAAGCCGCGGCTCGCGAGCCACATGCGGCTCTTTACAAGCTTAAATGCGGCTCTTCTGTGTGCCGGGCGCCCGCTCCCCTCCCTCCTCTCCCTCCTCGGATGGGCGTGTGCAGGGCGGCCGCCCCCTCACCTCCCCTCCCCTCCCTCCTCTCGGACGGCCGCCCGCTCCCCTCCCTCCTCTCGGGCGGCCGCCCCAAAAGTCAGGACTCTGCAGCTGTCAGGATGTAGGCGGGGCAGCCAGGATGTAGGCGGGGCAGCGTGACGAACTCCTCTCCTCTCACAGTCCGCCCTGAAGACCAGAAAACGCGCGGAGCAAAGGTAAGTGAATTGACACAGGGGGGACTTACTATATGGGGGATGAATTACTATATGGGGGACTTACTATATGGGGGGACTTACTATATGGGGGGGGACTTACTATATGGGGGATGAATTACTATATGGGGGACTTACTATATGAGGGGGGACTTACTATATGGGGGGGACTTACTATATGGGGGACTTACTATATGGGGGACTTACTATATGGGGGATGAATTACTATATGGGGGATGAATTACTATATGGGAGATGAATTACTATATGGGAGATGAATTACTATGGGGGGGATGAATTACTATGGGGGATGAATTACTATATGGGGGATGAATTACTATGGGGGATGAATTACTATGGGGGATGAATTACTATATGGGGGATGAATTAATATGGGGGATGAATTACTATATGGGGGATGAATTACTATATGGGGGATGAATTACTATGGGGGGGATTACTAATTACTATGGGGGGATGAATTACTATGGGGGATGAATTACTATATGGGGGATGAATTACTATGGGGGATGAATTAATATGGGGGATGAATTACTATATGGGGGATGAATTACTATATGGGGGATGAATTACTATATGGGGGATGAATTGCTATGGGGGATGAATTGCTATATGGGGGATGAATTACTATGGGGGATGAATTACTATATGGGGGATTAATTACTATATGGGGGATGAATTACTCTATGGGGGATGAATTACTATATGGGGGATGAATTACTGTGGGGGATGAATTACTGTGGGGGATGAATTACTATATGGGGGATGAATTACTATGGGGGATGAATTACTATATGGGAGATGTATTTTCAGTTTTAAAAATTGTGGCTCTCAAAATAAATTTCAATCGTGGTTTTGGCGAGATTTGGCTCAGTTGAAAAAAAAGGTTGCCCACCACTGCCCTAGTGACTTTGATGCAAAATCGCCAGCCATATTAATTACATTTTTGAAAAAATGTAAAAACTGTCTGTTTTGGTTTCGGTTTTCAGCCAAGTGCATCCTGAATTTTCGGTTTCGGCACTAAAATTTTAATTTCGGTGCATCACTAGCCAAAACACCTTTTTTTGCGGAGTGCTGAGGTGCTGTTACGTAGTAGTTACCATAATGCACATTGAAGTACAGGATATGCATTAGCAAGATGTCGTGCTGTTCATTTTTAAATGGCATCCCAAGGCAATGCAGATCTGATGCACATTCATTACAGTTCCCCAACAACACACAGTAATGCACTGCAGTGTGTTGTGGTGCACCGGAACAAAATGCTGCATGTCTGTTTTTTATTTTGATCATTGCTGTGATTTGGCGGCCCACTCAAAATGAAAGGCTTAACGCAAATTAATATATTAATTGGCGTGCTCATGTTCACGGAGTTCAGCTTTAAATGTAAATAGTAATGTGTTGTTTGCACAGAAACATTTACTTTAAATTTGTTGGCCCTTTATTTTTTTTTTTGTCTGATATTTTTAACCAGATGCTTAAAAAAAGTGACTTCCTTTCACACGCTGATGTAGCAATAGGCTTTCAACCAAAACAAAGTTTCTCACAGGCACAGGCACATTATTGAGAAATTACATATACCATGTGGAATGGGACAGACAAGAGCTAACCGCTCTACAAACATTGAATCCATATCATTTGCTTTAAACTCCATTCCACACTCATTCCACAGTTCCCAAGCAAATAAAAAGAAATCTCTGCTAAGGGAAACATGTAGACTACTAAAGCTACATCCGTCTACTATCTTCCTGGCTTCTGTACTATCTGGTTTCTGTACTTTTTCTGTACTTTTTGAGTCACTGACCTGAACAAGCATGCAGCAAGTGAAGTCAAAACTCCTGATCTACATTGCTTCTATCAAGTCAAAGGCGTGAAGTGCTGATATGACTAAGTTAGCATGATGGCCAGGGAACTGACATTTTTAAAAGTAGTGGGAAGTCACATATGTAACTCCGTTCAATTAAACCTTTTGTGACCAGCCAAATTTCAATCTATATGTATAGGCAGCCTGGTTGTACATAAATATAATTGTGTACAATCAGCCTATCAGTTTGTACAATCGACCTATGTACAAGCAGCTGAACAATCAGTGCCATCAGCTATATACTGATTATTTATTTATTTCAGGTACTTATATAGCGCCGTCAATTTACGCAGCGCTTTACATATATATTGTACTTCACATCAGTCCCTAACCCTCAAGGGGTGTACAATCTAAGGTCCTTAACTCACATTCATACATACATATACTAGGCCAATTTAGACAGGATCCAATTAACCTACCAGCATGTCTTTGGAGTGTTGGAGGAAACCGGAGGACCCGGAGGAAACCCACACAGGCACAGAGAGAACATGCAAACTCCAGGCAGGTGGTGCCATGGTTGGGATTCGAACCAACGACCCTAGTACTGCCAGGCAAAAGTGCTAACCATTTTGCCCACTGATCAGTGTATTCTGATGGCGGGGAACTTTCACCACTGTCACAATACAATACCTCAGTAGGAAGGGGAATCTGCTCATTATTTAAACTCAATCTGCTGTTTGAAAAAAAAAAAATAAAAATTATGTATGGCCAGCATAAAGGTTGTGTATTGTTTTGTTACTGTATTGTCTCATATACTCTCTCCCACTATAATGTACAGCACTGAGCAAACCTTTTGGCGCTATATAAATACTGTATAATAATAATAATAATAAAAGTCATTGAAGCTTAGATGCCCCGACCCAATTTGGCAGCATCTGCATGTGTCAGTTATTGCCTAAAGCTGGCCATACATGGATTGAAATGTGGCTTGTTCAGCATAGACCAGATAAATTTCGATCCATGTGTGGCCATTGTGCTTCAACAGAAGTCGGTTTACTGATCAATTCCTGTTCAACCACCCTGTCAGTATTTTCTCACTCAGTCTATGTATGCTGACACTGCTGGGGGCTCCCCACTGTCTGAGTACAATGACACAGGAGGATGACAGGTGGGGAGGATTCCCCCATCCATCTTCCGTTTGTGGGGGAATCGGATCATTTTGTTTTTTGGCTTAACCACCTGCCCCCCTGAGGATTTACCCCCCT